CTTTTTTTAAACTGTTAAAATTTAAGGGGGGGAGCCCCCTTTTGGGGGGAAAAGGGCCGCTGGTTTCCCAAACCCCCTTCTAAATTTACTTTGCTGACACCCCAACAGCACGTAAAAGTTTTAAAACCTTTTGTCTCCATTCACCCTATCAAACCGCTCACCATCCCTGTTGGAAGTCCAACCCCCTCGCACACAAAACCTCCTTTACCCCCCCCTCTCCAACCTTTCCCAGGCCGACCCCTACCCCGCCTTCCTTTCCCCTACAGTTTATACACCCTTTAATCATTCTGTTTTGCTCCTTCTCCTTACATTCCGAAACCCTCAACAACCCCTTTCCCCACCCCCCGGACAACAGTTTTGGTAATCCCCCACCCCTCCTAACTTCCAAAATACGAAATTTTCTGCATTATATTCACACCACACATTTTCCCTCAAATGACATCTCCACTGCTCCAGCCTTCTCCTCGCTGCAACATTCATCACCCAGCTTCACACCCCTATAAAGCGTTGGTAAAAAATATACTTTCATAATTCCCCTCTTTTCCCCAAAGGGCAAAGTTTTTGTCTCCACAACCCTAAATGCACCCCCACTCTTTTCCCCCCTCAATTCTATATCACCTCACTTTCATAACCCACCCTGACACGTCCACTCCCAAAAATCTGAATACATTCACCTCCTCCTACTCTCCCCTCCAACTTATTCAATCTTTCATCACCCAAATCTTTTTTTTATCCTCATAACCTTACCCTTTTCCCTTATTCACCTTTAATTTTCTTCTTTTTCACACCCTACCCAAATTCATCCACCAATCTCTCAACTTCTCTTCAAAACTCCCAAACACAGTTCATCAGCAAGAGCAGCTGTGACAACTCCCACTTTGTGTGTGATTCTTTATCTTTTAAATCCACGCCCTCTTGCCAAGACCCTCGCATTTATTCTCTTAAAACCCCCTCTATAAAATATTTAAAAAACCAGGTGACATCACACATCCTTGTCTAAGGGCCACTTTTACTGGAAATAATTTCCCCCTTTTTCCCACATACTTAACTTTAGCCTCACTACCTCGTAAAAAAACTTCCTGCTTTCAGAAACCTAACCCCCTACACCATACACTTGCAAATCTGCCACATTGCCCCCCCATCCAAACCCCCTCATAGCCTTTTCCAAATCCCAAAAAGCCACAAAAAACCTCTTTGCCCCTTTTCAAATACTGTTCACTTATATGTTTCACTGTAAACACCTGGTCCCACACCCCCCACCTTTCCTAAACCTCCTTTTCATTGCTATCCTATTCTCCGTCTTAATCTTAATTTTTTCAATAAAAACTCTACATACACTTTTCCCTATACCCAAAAGACTTATCCCCCCCATAATTTTGCCCCCTTTTTATCCCTTTCCTTTTTAAAATATTATATAATTTAAAACAATATATATTATATATTAAAAATATATATATATATAAAAATAATAATATATATATATATATATAAAATATATATATAATATATATATATATATATATAAATATATATTATTTGTTATTTTAAAACCCCAAAAGTTGTATTTTTCGAACCCAGCTGTTTTTAGCCCCCCTCAGGGTAGCTAAAATTCCATGACGCTCTAACCCCATGAACTTCAACTGCATTTCCATCAGTCCTTGATCATAGCGTTTGGGGGGTTTTACTTAAGGCTAAACCAAACATTTTGTCAGCATAGAAACGTACAAAAATTTTCAATTTCGTTCTTTTTTCAGCATTTAACTTGCAGTTGAAATTAATGCTGTAAGAAAAACTGAACGTGTGTAATAGTTGATGAAAGAGCTGTTATATGGAAAGTTTGGAGCGTTAAGAAACGGCATTTACTCACCATGAGAGGCAGCAGGTGACTGCACAATATATTACAGCAAAAATATTCATCAGTACCCTTACCCGGGAGTACCTCAGTTTTTCAACCATCAAAAATGGTAAAATGCTCATCTCTCTCCTCTCTCTCTTCTCTCTTCCCTACTATTATCTATCTGTCTTCGTTTTTATCTATCTTTTTATCTCTGTATTATATTATATATTATATATATTATATATATATATATTATAATATAATTTATATATAATATATATAAAAATATAATATATATATATTAAAAATATTTTAATTAATAAAATTATATATATATTTAATATTTTAAAAATATATAATAAGACTGAGAGAAATTTTGTAAAAAATTTCTATAATGTCTTTGTTTTTTTTTCTGATATTTGAACTTTTTGCATTAATACTGTATTTTTGTTTATTTAAAAATCTCGGGTGGGGAGTGTCCTGTGTTTTGGGTGGGGCTGGGTCCGACAAACGGCCCGGGTGAGGGTTTAAAGTCCCAAAAATCTCCGCCTTTTCCCCGGGAACACGACAGTGAGTTGGGTTTTAAATAATATATAAAAAAATATATATATATTTTTAAATTATTTATATATATATATAAATATATATATATATATATTATATATATATATATATATATATATATATAATATATATATAATATAGGGAGGTCCACCTCTAGAACTGTTTAGGGACCCTACCCCAAAAGAAAAGAATAAAATTCTTCAGGGAAAACTCAAAAATCTCCCCGAAGCTGTTTTTAAATTTTCTCCTAACCCCCAAAAAACTATATTATATATATAATTTTAAAAAAATTTAAAAATATTATTATATATATATAATTATAAATATTATAATAATAAAATAATATATATATTTATATATATTATATTATAATAAAAAATATTTTATTTTAAAAATAAAATACATTGACAACATTCACAAAAAATATGAAAACAAAGTAAAACAACATAGGTAACTCAGACCCTACATCTCGAATACTTCGTCCAGCTCCCCCTGCGGTGGCCGCGTGCCCAAATGCTGCAGGCATTTTCCCCTCTGGATCGCAACACTGAGTCTCTGAAAGAGCAAAGGGATATATCTTTTTGCTTATTTTTATTCTAATCAAGTTCAGAAACCTTAATGGCAAACAATCTTTTGTAGCATTCAATCTTTTAATATCAGTTTGGTCCAAAAGAAACTTTTGTTTCAGGAGTAACATATATCTTTTGTTGCGTCATAACAGATCCAGTGTACTTTCCTTACCCTGACGACTGCGGCGCCTTCTGCGAGTGCTCCGGGACTACTGCATTCTACATCCATTGTAAACCCGGTTTGTTTTTTAATGAAAATTTAAATGTCTGTGACTGGCCTCAGAACGTGGACTGTGGCACCCGACCAACAGTGTCTTCCATAGAGTCGTGAGGAACTACGAGGGAGGTGATACAGATAGTTGCATAACTGCAGCTTGTTCAGATTATGTTGACAGGAAAATGCATGAAATACGTATCCAGATATTCACAACAGGTGTTGAGATTGTAATAAAGTTGGTAGAATTACCGACAATATGTAAAGTAAAAGGACACAAGTGCAACTAATGTGACATTTATAGCAACGTTTCGCTCTCCAGGAGCTTTATCAAGCCATTACAAACAGTACATGGACACAGAGGGTATATAAAGGCTCAGAGTGAGGTGAATACTAGTGAGGTACCATTTCGATGTTCACTAGTGGTAGTAGTAGTAGTAGTAGTGGTAGTGACAAAAGCAATTAATTCGTACATGAGTAAAAGGATATAAAAGCTATTACTTGGGAAACATAAAAATAGGTTGGACAAATATAAACTGGAATGAGGCAGGTTGTTTCAGTGTTCACTCTCTGTGCTTTGTGTAGTATAACAGGAGAGACTATGTGATGGCAGGGATGTACTTACATTCACCAAACATTCACTGAGTTACAATTTCCTTCTTTTTTCATCAAAGACTGCAAGAAAAGAGCTCTTCAGATCATCAATTCTCCACGCATCAACACCGCTCCCAACAAAGTTATAATTCTTCCCAACAGCCAGGTTGCACTAAACGTCTCAAAAGTACTTTCACAAGCTAACACCAGAGTCGCCATCGCTTCTACCACTTCAATAAAGGATCTAACCAGGACAAAACCCAAGCACCACGAACCAGTCAATGCAGGAGTTTACACTATACCCTGTGGGGGGCTGTGACAAGATCTACGTAGGTGAAACAGCAAGAAACCTCGACACCCGCCTCAATGAACACATATACGCATGTAGGAACGACAACTTAAACAACGCCTGTGTACAACACCGAAATTCCACCAATCATCTTATGAAATTCAGAGACGCCCAATTAGTGATAAAGAAACTAATTTCCGCACACGCAGTGCCTTGAATCAGCACTGATCGCTGTTTCGAATACAATTAAACAAAACAACGGCAGCTTCACACATCTCCGAAGTCTTAGCAAGAATCCTCCTGAAAACAGTAAACCCTGCCATCACATAGTCTCTCCTGTTATACTACACAAAGCACAGAGAGTGAACACTGAAACAACCTGCCTCATTCCAGTTTAATATTTGTCCAACCTATTTTTTATGTTTCCCAAGTAATAGCTTTTATATCCTTTTACTCATGTACGAATTAATTGCTTTTGTCACTACCACTACTACTACTACTACTACTACTACCACTAGTGAACATCGAAATGGTACCTCACTAGTATTCACCTCACTCTGAGCCTTTATATACCCTCTGTGTCCATGTACTGTTTGTAATGGCTTGATAAAGCTCCTGGAGAGCGAAACGTTGCTATAAATGTCACATTAGTTGCACTTGTGTCCTTTTACTTTACAAGGTGTTGAGATGGAAATATAGACACATATGCAGTATAATGTGATCCTTTATTGACTACGTTTCGCCCACACAGTGGGGTTTTTCAAGTCACAAACAGATCTACCTGGGGTGGAAGAGACGCGTCCCTTCCACCCCAGGTAACTGTTGTGACTTGAAAAACCCCACTGTGTGGGCGAAACGTAGTCAATAAAAGGATCACATTATACTGCATATGTGTCTATAATTCCATTGTGTCGGTATTTTATACCATTTATTTCCAGGTGTTGAGATAAATAATTAAAACATACCCCGGCCGGGATTGAACCCGCGGTCATAGAGTCTCAAAACTCCAGCCCGTCGCGTTAGCCACTAGACCAGCTAGCCACAATAAGATTCATCCAACTAGGTATATTTCTACACCATAGGAAAGTTAGCACAGGCACCTCTGCAGTGAAGGGACTTGAGCTAGAGTTCGTCACGGCCACGCTAGCTGGAGATTCGTCTGTAAAAACTTGCATTTGTGGTCACAGAGGTGCCTGTGCTAACCTTCCTATGGTGTAGAAATATACCTAGTTGGATGAATCTTATTGTGGCTAGCTGGTCTAGTGGCTAACGCGACGGGCTGGAGTTTTGAGACTCTATGACCGCGGGTTCAATCCCGGCCGGGGGTATGGTTTATTTGCAATCGTGTCATTACGATTTCTTGAGTCATAAATAATTACTAAGTGACAGAGTATTGTGGTACTTGACTGTCTTCACTTTTCACAATTTATCATTACCTCTATGGACAATTGGATTTGGAAAATTGTTTAGAGCTGTCCACTAATTTGTTTTGGATCCGCTTATTCCATGATACAATGGCGGCTCCGAAGTGACAGCCAAAGCTGGAACTATTACCACCATTGTCATGTTTTATGATGAAAATAATTCAAAATATTAATTAAGAACATAAGAATGGAGGAACACTGCAGAAGGCCTACTGACCCATGCGAGGCAGGTCCTTATCAAAACAACCTCTACCTAAAGCTACCCAAGAAATAACTCCCGTACCCAATGACACCAATCAAACCCAGCCCCTCCCACTCATATATTTGTCCAATCTCTTCTTAAAGCTACCCAAGGTCCTAAAGCTACCCAAGGTCCTAAAGCTACCCAAGGTCCTAAAGCTACCCAAGGTCGATAAATTAGACACATGTGCAAGAGTTGCACATGTGTCTAATTTATCAACATGTCGGTTCTCTGAACCATTCATCTACTACCCAAGGTCCTAAAGCTACCCAAGGTCTTTGACACAGGTTATGTCTTGCGTATAGATTATGAATACAATGTGAAAATGTAATAAGTTTTTTGATACTCGCCTTCAAGAGCTCATAGAAAAATCATTTCTAGCCCGAATTCTTGTTTTATAACAAAAAAATTGTTCCTGATATTGAGATTATAACATTTAGATAATTTTTTATAATAGTTACAAATAAAATATATAAACTCTACCTATAATCGTGTTATTTTGTACTTTTTTTTGTCTGGTCTTTGTAGATGATAATATTGATAGGAATGACTATGATAGATTATAATTTTTTTTTTTTATATACACGGCCGTCGCCCACAGAAGTATAGTGATCCAAATGAAGAAGAAACTCTTTCACAGTCATTCAATCAATGTTTTGCCAGGAACGTACTGACGTCACTGTTCAGATAGCCCTCAGACCTGGAAAACTCTCACCCCTTCTTCAGGGTGTAGCCACTATAATTCCCACACTCAAGACTTATGTTCGGATAACCGGTTCCCCTGAATTCCTTCATAAATGTAATAAAGTTGGTAGAATTACCGACAATATGTAAAGTAAAAGGACACAAGTGCAACTAATGTGACATTTATTGTGGCAACGTTTCGCTCTCCAGGAGCTTTATCAAGCCATTGATAAATGGCTTGATAAAGCTCCTGGAGAGCGAAACGTTGCCACAATAAATGTCACATTAGTTGCACTTGTGTCCTTTTAATTTCCTTCATAAATGCTGCCTTGCTGGCACCCCAACAGTACAAAGGGTCATTGAAAAGTCACTTCCCTCCACTAACTCTTATCTGAAGCACCAACACAAGCCTGTTGGATGTCAAAGCTCCAAGCGCTCAAAATATCCTTTACCTTGTCCTTCCAAACTCTCCTTATACGACCCCAATCCTACCTTCCTTCCACCCAGATTTATACACGCACCTAGTCATCATATTTTGCTCCATCCTTTCTTAATGTTCAACCCTCTTCAGCCCTCTGAATAACACTTTTGGTAATCTCGCGCCGTCTAATCTTCAACCTCCAAATTCTCTGCATAATATTCACATCACACATTGCTCTCAAATACGATATCTTCACTACCTCCAATCTCCTCTGCAACAATTTAAACCTATGCCTCACACCCACATAACAGTGTTATCGCCTTACTCTGGTACTTTCCTCCTTTTGCCTCCATTTATAAAGTTCTTTATCTCCACAGATGCCTCAAATGGCCTCCCGCCTTTCTCTCCTTGTCACTTCTATGTTGTTAGGTAAGACACATATGCAACAGTTAGGTATCTTTATTATGAAACGTTTCGCCTACACAGTAGGCTTCTTCAGTCAAGTACAGAAAAGTTGATAGAAGCAGAAGATACTTGAAGACGATGTAATCAGTCCATCACCCTTAAAGTTTTGAGGTGGTCAGTCCCTCAGTCTGGAGAAGAGCATTGTTCCATAGTATGAAACAATATGGTGAAGAAGTGACAGGATGGAGCTTTTATAGCGCCAGGAGGTGAGACGTAGGCCACTAGGAGAGGTAAGAACTCAGATGTTGAAAGGTTAGGTCCCTCTCAAACCCAGCCCCTCTCACTAGTGGAAGTTGTCTTCAAGTATCTTCTGCTTCTATCAACTTTTCTGAATTTGTCACTTCTATGGTTCACCACATATTTCATAGTCCCATAGGCCGAGAAGTCCACTCCCAAAAATATGAACACATTTGCATTCCGTATTCCCTCCTATTTCATCTCCATTATTTCATTGCCTAGATTTGTTGTTATCCTCATCACCTGGGCCTTTCCTATATTTACTTTCAGTTTCCTCTTGCATGCCCTCCCAAATTCCTGCACCAACTTTTGCAACTTCTCTTCCGAATCTCGAGAAAGAATCATGTCAACGAAAAAAAAAAAAACTGTGATAATTCCCACTTCGTAGAACATTCATTATATTTTAGTCACGCACCTCTCCCCTGCACCCTGGCGTTCACTTCTTATTTGTAACCCCATCTATGTTGTTAGGTAAGACACATATGCAACAGTTAGACAACTTTATTCCGTGATGAATGGTTTGAAAAACCGACAAGTTGAAGATTGAGACACTTATGCAGCATATGGGAATCTTTATTCAGGAAACGTTTCGCCACACAGTGGCTTCATCAGTCCAATACAAAGAGGAAGGCGTAAGGAGAGGAGGAGTATGAGGTAATCAGTCCCTCAGCCTGGAGTCGATGTGTTCAGTCCATCAATCTTGTAGAACACATCGACTGAACTGAACTGAACACATCGACTCCAGGCTGAGGGACTGATTACCTCATACTCCTCCTCTCCTTACGCCTTCCTCTTTGTATTGGACTGATGAAGCCACTGTGTGGTGAAACGTTTCCTGAATAAAGATTCCCATATGCTGCATAAGTGTCTCAATCTTCAACTTTATTCCGAAACGTTTCGCCTACACAGTAGGCTTCTTCAGTCGAATACAGAAAGTAGGCAGGAACAGTAGAGATGTGAAGACGATGTAATCAGTCCATCACCCTTAAAGTAGTAGAATTTGAGGTTGTCAGTCCCTCGGCCTGGAGAAGTTCAGTTCCATAGTCAGGAACTTATCCCCACTTATCCAGGGCAGGTGTGGGTTTTCTTGCTAACTCAGTTGAGGGGGTTGTTAGGACTTTAAACTGGGATTAGTTAGGGGTTTAGGGTTTTTGCAGGAAAACTGTGAAGTCGCAGGGTAGTAATATGAGTACTAGGAGAACTAGTAATAGGCAAAATGGGGTGGATTTTGGAAAGCCAGTGGCACTAATTGACAAGGACAGTAATAGGTTTAGTGGAATAATAGAAAAAAGCAGGAAGGGTAAAGAGAGAGGAGGTCATTAAAATTTTATTACACAAATAGTCGCAGTGCTAGGAATAAGATGGGCGAGTTGAGACTAGTTGCTAGTGCAGTAACATAGATGTATTTGCCATTACTGAGACGGGGTTTAATTCAAAAAGTCGAGACATGCCTGCAGAATGTCACATTCGGGGTTTTAAATTGTTCCAAGTATATAGAAGTATCGGGAAGGGGGTGGGGTGGCATTGTATGTCCGAGATCGCTTGAACTGTTGCATAAAAACGGGTATTAAGTCTAAAAGTAAAAACATACAGAGTCTGTTTGGATAGAATTTTCAGAGGGGCAATGAAAAATTAATTTTAGGAGTGATATACCGTCCCCAAATTTAGATAGGGACCAGGGGAGACTACTATGGGAGGAAATTGCTAGGGCCACAAGGGACGATAATGTAGTAATTCTAGGGGACCTTTAACTTTAGTCATATTGATTGGAATTTCTTGACTGGGAAATTTAGAATCATACGATTTCTTAGAAGTAGTTCAGGATTGTTTTTTGAAGCAGTTTGTGACAGAACCTACAAGGGGAAATAAAACCCGCTTGACTTAGTTCTGGCAAACAATGAATCCCTTGTTAATAATTTAGAAGTTTCAGAGGAACTGGGTGCTAGCGACCACAAATCAATTACATTTAGAATTGAATGGAAGTATGATAGTAGGGATAACTCAGTAACAGTCCCAGATTTTCGCTTAGCAGATTTTCGATGGGCTTAGAGAACACTTATCATCTGTTGACTGGGTAACGAAGAGAGCTATCATATGACAGTTTTCTGAACACAATACATGCTGCTCAAAGAACGTTTATCCCTTTAAGGAAATTGATCAAATAGAAATGACCCCAAATGGATGAATAATAGGCTGAAATATCTACTAGGGCTTAAAAAAGGAATTCATAGGCGTATCAAAAGAGGCGAGGGTCATCTTATGAATCAGTATTTGACATTAAGAGGGACATTTAAAAAAGGGGGTAAGAAAAGCTAAAGGGACTATGAAATTAAAGTTGCTAGGGATTCTAAAACTAATCCAAAAAGTTTTTTCCAGGTATATAGAACAAAAGTCAGAGATAAGATAGGTCCCTTAAAAATAACTATGGGCATCTTACTGACAAAGAGAATGAAATGTGCTCGATTTTAAATAATTATTTTTTCTCGGTTTTTACACAGGAAGACACTAATAATATTCCGGTAATTAATTTTTATAGTGGATCAGAAGAAGATAAATTATGTAACATCACAGTCACTAGTGAAATGGTTGCGAAGCGATAACCGACTGAAGCAAAATAAGTCACCGGGTCCTGATGAGGTTTTTTTCAAGGGTTCTTAAGGAATGCAAAAGGAAGTCTGTGAACCATTAAACTAATATTTTTAATTTATCTCTTCAAACAGGTGTAGTGTCTGATATGTGGAAGATGGCTAATGTAATTCCTATTTTTAAAACAGGGGACAAGTCGTTACCGTCAAATTACCGCCCAAAAAGCCTGACCTCAATTGTAGGCAAGTTGCTAGAGTCAATTATAGCTGAGGTTATAAGAAGCCATCTCGATAAGCATAGCTTGATTAATGATACCAGCATGGATTCACAAGAGGCCGGTCTTGTCTAAACTAATTTATTAACTTTCTTCAGTAAAGCTTTTGAGGCTGTTGACCACGATAAAGAATTTTATATTGTTTACTTTTTTTAGTAGCATTTGTAGAGTTCCCCCCAAAATGTTGAAGAAAGTAGCAGTATGGCTTGGGGGGAGGGTGCTCTCGTGGGTATCATGGCTCAAGACGAAACGAGATGTCCAAAATGGGGGTTAAATCCGAGTGGGGCAGTAACAAGTGGCGTTCCCCAGGGACGTTTTGGGCCGTTGTTGTTTATAATATATATCAATGTCTTGATGGGAAGGAATGTAGTGATATGAGCAAAACGCCCAGACACGAAAATAGGTGGATAATTGATTCAAACGTAGATGTTAGGGAAATTCAGGAGGATTTAGACAAATCTACTCTTGGTCAAAAAAATGGCGATGCAGTTCAATTGGATAAAAGCAAGGGTTTTGAAGCTGGGAGTGTTATAACCTAGCATTTAAGTTAAATAATGTAGACTTTGCCCTACAGATTGCGAAAAGGCTTAGGGGGGATGGTAAGCGCAAACCCTTAAACCAAAACAGCAATGCCCAAGCGTACGTAATAGGCAAAAAAGATTACTGGGATTTTTTATCAAAGTGTGGCAACAGAAGTCCGAGGTCATACTGCAGCTTTTTACATATTAGTAAGGCCCACCTAGATTATGCAATTTATTCTGGTTCCATATTAAGAAGGACATAAAATTTGTTAGAAAACTTCAGGGAGGATGACA